GTCTTTGCAGGTGGCTCCTGCACCCTCTCCCTGGTTCTCAGGTTCTTCTTAGGACACCTCCACCTGGAGCCTGAGTCAGCACCCCATAATGGCCAGAGTTGCTGGGACACTTCCCTGCCTGCCCCCAGACCTCCCCCTCACATTGCTTCCTCTCACCAGGATAGTCCCTGACAAAGTCCTGGTAGAGTGCCCCCAGCTGGTCCCCAGTGATGTATCGGGAAGGATCAGCCGGAGACTTGAAGTCCAAGTCATATTTGCCATCACGATAGAACTCTGAGGCAGCAACATCCATGCCAATGACGATCTTTTCTGTGTAGCCAGCCTTGTCGATGGCTTCCTTCACCAGCTCCAAGGCTGGGGACGGAATACAGTGAGATTATTGTACAAGCAGGAGGGATGGGCGAGGAGGAGGAGGGAAAGAAAAGACAGTGAGGGCAGAGTTGGAGGGCTGTTCCTGAGAAGTGTGTTGGGGCTGCTGTTGGGGTTATCCCCGGGTCTGGGAGGAGAGGCCGTCTTCTGGGAACACAGGGTGGAATTCTGTTAATAAGATTTATTATCTTTTCATTGACATCATGTCACCTAAGCATTTTACACGTAAGATTTCATTTAATCCTCACACTGATGTCATGAGCTAGATCGTTATTGTTCCCAGAGATAAATTAAGATCACCAGCTAATAACACCACAAGTCAAGGTTCAAATAAATCCAGGTAATTTGGCCCCGGAACCTTAACTCTTAAACACTATCTATATTGTTTCCATTTCTTATACAGTTTCTCCCAAGGCACAAAAATATTACAGATTCTAGAGGCCTAGGAGGCTGGGGTGGGGACAGGATAGATTTCGAATGGATTCCCTAGACTATGATATCTCATCAAACTGAGATGCCTACAGAGTTGAATGATGGGATGAGTCCAACAGGTCACCCAGACCATCTCCCAGTATTCCCAGGGGCTCCAGTGACAACAGATGCTAACACAGCTGGAAATGCAAGTAAAAGACTGTCCCCCTAGGTCTGCGTGTGAATTTGGCAGGCCTTCTGCAAGCCACTCTAAGAACTGGTACCTTCTGGAGTTTGTAGAGTCAGGATCCTCCATGCCTACTCAGGACTTGGTGAAGTGTGTGGCCCTTTCTGATGTCCCACGATAGCTTACCCTATTGTAGCTTAGAGCTGGGAACAGAATTCTTGGCCTCACCTTCACTGTTCTCCAGGATATTGGGGGCAAAGCCACCTTCATCTCCCACGTTGGTGGCATCCTTGCCGTATTTGTCCTTGATGACTCCCTTGAGTGTATGGTAGACCTCTGCACCCAGTCGCATGGCATCCCGAAAGCTCTCGGCTCCCACTGGGAGGATCATGAACTCCTGCATGGCCAGCTTGTTCCCAGCATGAGAGCCACCATTGATCACGTTGAAGGCCTGGGGAACCGCAGAAAGACGGAAGGGTCAAAGAGCTCCTCCCTGCCCGCCCCAGGAGTGTTAACCCAAGACCACAAACTTCCCCCAGCTTCCTGGACTAGGTCTCACGTCCCCATCCTTCCTCTTTACCTGCCCCAATTCACTTTCCTCCCATCATTCCTCAGGAGTTGCATGCTCCCTCCCCCACCCACCCCTGGAAGAGTCACAGGCATGGCTCAGTGCTCACCGGCACAGGCAGGATGAGGTCTGAGTTCCCGGCCAGCTGAGCAATGTGGCGATATAGGGGCAGCTCCCGCTCGGCTGCCCCTGCCTTACACACGGCCAGAGACACACCCAGGATGGCATTGGCCCCAAACTTGGCTGGGAGATTATAGAGGAAGGTGCTGAGCACAACGTCCCCTTCTCCTTCTAGTTCCTGCCCCCATCTGTAGTCTCCAAAAGGAGCCAGTAAAGGAGACCCCCTCCTCCCTCCCCACCCCTGCCCCAGCAACACCTCATCCATGCTCGCCAGAAAACAGCAGGGGAGAAGAATGGGTGGGGAGGAGGAGATCGGAAAGATCCCTGAGACCACAGACTCTCTCAGGCCAGCCCCCTCCTCTGTATGCTATAAAGGTCTTCCTTCTGCCTAATGTGGGTCTCTCCTCTGCAGCTAAACTCATCTCCCCTTGCCCTGGCTTTGGGAGGAGGAGGCCGCTGTCAGTCATTCCTGAGGAAGCCCCTACAGCACCAGCCCTTCAGCTCTCTGTCTGCTCCACACCGCCCCACTCTGACGCTTCCCCACTTTGTCCCAGCCCCAGCTTACATTTGTTCTCAGTCCCATCCAACTCCAGCATCAGGTTGTCCAGTTTCTCTTGCTCCACCACAGAGAGACCCTGAGGGCAGAGCCTCCATCACCCAGGGCCAGGCTGGAGGCTGAGCCCTAAGGCAGAGGGTCCCCTCATTCACACCCAAGCTCACATTTGGCCAGGGTCCAACCAGGTCCCTGTGACAGGGGCCTGCCTGGATGAGAGGACCTGAACCCCCATGGGAGCAGAGGGCAGTAAGGAAGCTATTCCCCACCCTTTCCCTTGTAACCATGATTCCTAAAAGTGGGCCTTCTTTCTCCCCTTCCTCCTGCCCTGCTCCGGGGTTCCTTCCAGAACTCTGTCCCCGCTATCCCCAGCAAAGAGCGGGCCTCACTGAGCTGAGGAGGGCTGGCGCGATGGTGGAGTTGATGTGGTCCACTGCCTTCAGGACACCTGGGGAGAGGAAGAGGCTGGACTGGGTCAGGCCAGGAAGGACGGAAGGGACAATGGGAGGAGGGGAAGGCATGCTAGAGGAGGACTGGGGACTGGTGTGAGGTGGGGGGATAAGGCTGAGGTGGGGGAGAGTCTGGAAAAGAGAAAGGACCTCACCTTTGCCTAAGTAACGCTGTTTGTCCCCATCCCTTAGCTCCAGGGCCTCATAGATGCCCGTAGAGGCTCCACTGGGCACTGCAGCCCGGAAAAGACCTCAAGGAAGAATATGGAATGAGAGGGAGTGAAGAAGACTACACTACCGGGCCTTCCGGCTCTAAACTCCTGCCTGCCACATCTAGCTCTCCCCCTACACTGCTCCCTAACATCCCACCCGCAACACACACACTGTGAGGCAGACACACAAGAAGTGGCCTCCTCATCCGCCCATCTGAGGCCCCACAGCACAAGCGGAGCCCGCAGAAAGGAAGCTATGCCGGGCAGCACACCTCTGCACACATGCAGGTGCACAGGCAGACACACGGGGGCAGGGCACGCCTCACACGCTCCATTCCAACACAGACCCGCCTACACTGGCTCCCTGGACAAGGAGGATCCAACCCCCACAACCCAGGCTTGTGAGTCTGACCCAGCACCCCATCCCCCTGGGTATCAGAAAAGGCCCCTGAACCCCGGCCAAACCCAGCCTGGCAGTGGGAAGGCGCCTGCCACACCCATTACCTTTGGCAGTATAGAGGTCCACCTCCACTGTGGGGTTCCCGCGGGAGTCCAGGATCTCCCGGGCCCAGATCTTCTCTATGGACATGATGGCTGGGATCTCCTCGGGTGGAAGGGAAGGAAGGAGAAAGATAAGAGGCTTAGAGGGGTGGAGCCTGAAATCAATGGGCGGGGCAGGAGGCTGGGAGGGATGGGAAAGAGGTTACTGCAGTGAGTGGGGGGTGGGAAGGGAGGCGCTGGCTGCAGTCTAGGGCTGTAGAAGGGATTCCCCCTCCCCCCTGGGAAGAGGAGAAGGTCAATGCAGTGAGGAAGGGGAGGTCACTGCAGTGGGGGGCTGGGAGAACACTGCAGCGGGGAGGGGAGGGGCACGACAGTGGTTCCCGCGCCTCTTTACAGCTTGGCCAGCCGGTGGGGTTCCCCCAGATCTCCTCAGAGCGGAATGGCTGCCAGGCTCGCATTTCTCCTGGGAGCCAGGAAGAGGATGGGTTGCGTGGGCCTCTCTTCCAGAGCCCCATCCCTCCCCAACTTAGCCCAGCTGCCAGAACTCTGCCCCCTCCCCAAGGTGCCACTCTCTCCCAAACGTGTGTCCCTCCTCTTCCCGAGAAAGGCGCACGCAGTAGAGGCATGGGGGCGGGGGAGGCGGGAGAAAGGGTCCTGGGGAAGGCCCTGCAGTCCCTGGGGGTTGCAGAAGGGAGCGAAGAGGATAAGACCCGGTGGGGTGTGGCAGCTAGCTGGGCCTGTCCCCTGCGTCCCGACAGATCCCCACTTCTTCCATCCCTCCCCCGTGCAGCTGAGAGGAGGAAGCGCAAACGGAGAGGGGCGGCGGGGGGAAAAGCAGGAGAGAGGGGAGTCCAGGGTAAGTCTGGAGGAGCTGAGGAAGGGGGAGAGAAGACATTTCCCCAAATGCAAACCAAAAGGTACGCGCCAGGATAAAAATGCACCGCTGGGGAGGACTCCGAACTTAAGAAACAAATGGACAGAACCGTAGGTGAGGGGGAGCGCTGGGCGAGAGGCAGGCAAGGGTGGAGAGGCGCAGTTCCAGAGAGGCGCGGAGAGGGCCAGAGCGCCAGGGCCCGGGAGGGAGGGCGCCCAGGCGCAGGCGGCAGAGCAGGTGCGCAGCTGCCTGCACGCGGCGAGAGATGCGGAGAGGTGCGCAGCGGCACCGGGTAGAGGGGGCAGGGGCTCCGGGCCCGGCGGGGGCTTCACCTCGGGACTGCAGACTCAGCCGGTGGTGGTGGTGACGGTGGCGGTGGCGGTGGCGACGGCAGCACGGAGAGAGCGGGAGTGGCAGTGGTGGCGGCGGCTGCGGCTCCCGGGCGGCGGGCGGGGGAGGCGCCTATAGGGCCGGGCAGGCGCATGTGACCCGGAGCCCCCGATGAGTCAGGAGCTGCCGGTGGAGGCGCACGTACAAGCGCGGGTGGGGGACCGACGCGGGTAGAGTGGGGGATGGGGAAGGGTGGGGGCACCCACGACCTGGCCCCCCGCGCACACACACGCTCATACCCATGACCCAACCCACTCGAAAGTAACAGGCAGAGCCGCACCCCTGTAGCCCGGGTACTAAGGCCCACATTGCCAGTGAAGCCCAAGGCAGCCTCAATGCCTCACAAACCCAGTCAAACACAGGAGCATCACAGTGCCTCTTTATTGGAAATCCAAACACCCCAGCCGCCTCCAGGTCTCTCCAGCCATTCCTACCAGCACACCGTGGCCCACGCGGGCTAGGCTCCTACCCATGCCTGCCCCAGGGCGAACCTGGGCCTAGGTTCCAGGCCTTACTCAAGCCTAGGCACCCCACTCTGCAGCTCACACTGCCCAGGGGACCAGTACAGAGAGGGATCCTGGGCCTCAGACTGTGATGAATTTCCAACTTTGGGGCAAAAAGAGGCATCCTCTGTCCGCCTGGAGCAGGTATGAATGTGCTGGCCTCCCTGGGAATCTGATTAGGTCTGAAGGCCAGCATCTTTGATCTCCTGGAGGTAGAAGACAGAAGTAAATAGGGGTGATAGGGGTGGCTCAGGCCTGTAATCCCAGCACCTTGGGAAGCCGAGGCAGGTGGATCACAGGAGAGGCAGGTGGATCACCATGTTTGCCAGGAGATCGAGACCATGCTGGCTAACATGGTGAAACTCCGTTTCTACTAAAAATACAAAAATTATCCAGGCTAGTCCCAGCTACTCAGGAGGCTGAGGCAGGAGAATGCTTGAACCCAGGAGGTGGAGGTTGCAGTGAGCCAAGATCAGATCACTGTACTTCAGCCTGGGCAGCAGAGCGAGATTCGTATCAAAAAAAAAAAAAAAAAAAAATTCAATAAAGCCTCTGTCCTATCTGAAGTGCCTGGCGGCCATCCTCATCTCTTCCGTCTCTTTCTGCCTCACTCTGCCCTCTTTTCTTCCCCCACCTCTGTGTCCTGCTATTTTTAGCTTCAGATTTTTAGTGCAGGATCTTCCTCTCCTGCCTTCTCTCCTAGGCCCAGCTACATACACCACCAACCCTCCCCGGCAGCCCCTACCATGCACCCACACCAGTCCTTTCCTAGCAGACTTCACTGTGTCAGGTATGGCTGCCCACCCCCCACCAACTCTGCTGCCTGCCACCCCAATTCTTTTTGCTTACTCTTCTGGCTTCCTGAGCCCTTTCTCAGCTGGTCCTAGGCCCTTCGGGTCCCTTTTCCTCTCCTTGATTCCTAAGCCTGCTCTCTTTAAGGGTTCTGCTTGTCTGATGCCTTCCTCCCCACCTCCTTCTGCAGCAGCTTTTCCTCTTGTTTCTTCTCCTACCTGCCCAGCCCTTGACCTCCTCCCACTGCCTCCCCACAGGCTTCCTTACTATCTTTAGAGGCTAGATCAAAGACTGTTCCGGTTCCAGATCACGCTGGGGTTCAGGCTCCTGCTCCTGGTTTTCCTTCAGACTCTGCCGAATCTCATCAGCCTCAGCCCGTTCCTCCTCCTCATAGAATTCCTTGTCTAGACGTTCGAGGTATGGCATCTGCACCAGGGCCTCCTGGCGGTACTTGGCGTCATCCGTGCATGGGTTATCCAGCAGCACCAAGGCTCGCAGCTTGGGCAGGTCTTGAAGCTTGGCCAGCTCCCCCAAGTTGGCCACCAAGTTGCCCCTGCCAGTGTGGTCAGGAGGGGTTCATGCAGGAATAATGGGCTTTGGTTGCCAGTTGCTAGGAATGGGGCCTCTGGGGGACTCTCCTACTGGGTTCCAGTTTTTCTAGAAACACTGACTGTGAGGTCTGGCCTGCCAAGCCTTGCCAGATTTACTGCAGAGGAGCTGTTCGACCCCGCTCTGGTCCTGCTTCTGCCCTTCAAGGAATCCCTAAGTGCCATATTCTACTCTGTAATGTGTTCGTGTTGGAGAATACATGAACAGTACTAACTGGGGATAAGGGGGCAAATTTTCCTTACAGGGAGAGACTTTTTCTGTGTCAATCACAGCTAAACAGAGGGTAGAAGGCAGGACCCAGCCTTGGCAACACAGTGAGACCCTATCTCTACAAAAAATAAAAATAAAACAATTATCTGGGTGTGGTGGCACACACCTGTAGTCCCTGCTACTTGGGAGGCTGAGGACGAGGGATCACTTGAGCCCAGGAGTTCAAGGTTACAGTGAGCCTAGCTGGAGCCACTGTACTCCACCCTGTAGGAGCTAGGTCAGTAGACAAGGAACTGGGATCTAAGCAGGAGTTTAGGGTGGGTGGGGGCTCTGTTGGTGCTCCCCGCAAAGGGAACCTAGGGCTAGGAATGGGTTGGCGCCTCCCAGCTAAAGAATAAGCTTTATCTCTTAATGTGCCTCATAATATGACCCTCTGTATTTATTTATTTTTTTTATTTTTTTGAGACAGGGTTGGCTGGGCGCGGTGGCTCAACACCTGTAATCCTAGCACTTTGGGAGGCCGAGGTGGGTGGATCACCTGAGGTCAAGAGTTCAAGACCAGCCTGGCCATCATGGTGAAACCCCATCTTAAAAAAAAAAAAAGGAAATAAGGAAAGAAAAAGAGAGAGGGTCTCACTATGTCACCCAGGTTGGGGGTGCAGTGGCATGATCATATAGCCCACTGCAGCCTTGAACACCTGGGCTCAAGCGATCCTCTCACCTCAGCTTCCTAAGTAGCTCCAGGTGTGTGCCACCACACTTGGCTAATTTTTAAATTTTTTGTAGAGACTGGGTCTCACTACGTTGCCCTGGCTGGTCTTGAACGCCTGGCCTCAAGCAGTCCTCTTGCCTTGGGCTCCCAAAGTGCTGGGATTACAGGTGTGAGTGACCGTGCCTGGCCTTTCATTTTCATGTTCTGGTTTTAAGCCTTTATGAAATCATATTGAAGTGCTTCACCCTGATCTCATGGTCATATTGAGACTCATGGAGTGTTTCTCACCAGGAAGGCTACAGGCACTTTGTACTGGACTCTGCTGTGCTCTATAGGATGCTTAGCATCTCTAGCCCCAGAGGCACCTCCCAATCGAGACACCCTCACTCCCTCCACACACACACCCAACTTACTCTCAAACAGCCCCAGTTAATAGCCACTCAGGAAGGGTCCATCATGCCTGTCTAGACCATAACAGGAACATGGCACACACACACACACCCCACCAGATCACTGTGGCAGAGTTCATGAATGAGAGATTGCCTAGGGGGTCAAGATGAGAGTTGGGGCTTCCAGATGCAACCACCTCTCCCTACTTGGAGATGCTCTTTCCATTACCAGCTCAAGAATCTAGTCTTCTCTCCTCAAATCTGAGCACATCTTGTGTTTTATGTCAGTAAAAAGGCCATCCCTTACAGGTGGGGCTCAGGAGAAGAGAGGCAGGAAATGGGAAGGGGAATTGGGACCCAGGAAATGGAGAAGGGCAGTGGAAACTTACATGGGGTAGGGCAAAGAAAAAAGAGTTGGAACCAGACTGTGAGCCCCTTGGAACAGGGATCACTCTGATTCCTTTATTTCTTTCAGAGACAGCTCACTCTGTCACCCAGGCTGGAGGGCAGTGGCACGATCATGGCTCACTGCAACCTTGAACTCCTGGGCTCAAGTGATCCTCCTACCTCAGCCTCCTGAGTAGCTGAAACCACAGGTGTGTACCACCAGGCTCAGTTAACTTTTATTTTTAATTTATTATTTTAATTTTTATTTAATTTTTTTGTTTGTTTGTTTTGTTTTTGAGGCAGGGTCTGGCTCTGTCACCCAGGGTGGAGTGCAGTGGTGTGATCTCAGCTCACTGCAAACTCCACCTCAAGGCTCCCTGCCTAAGCCTTCTGAGTAGCTGGGATTATAAGTGCCTGCCACCACACTTGGATGATTTTTGTATTTTTGGTAGAGATGGGATTTTGCAATGTTGCTCAGATTAGTCTTGAACTCCCAGGCTGCCCACTTTGGCTTCCCAAAGTGGTAGAGAACTACTGGGCATGAGTCACCACGCCCGGCCATTATTTTTACTTTTGTAGAGACGTGGTCTCACTATGTTGCCAAGACTGGTCTTGAACTCCTGGCCTCAAATGATCCTCCGTCCTAAAGTGCTGGGAGTACAGGCATGAGTCACCATGCCTGGCCTCTGATTCCTTTCAATGTCCCCAAAACACAGTACAAGGCCTGGCACATAGCACATTTTCAATAATTATGGATTGAATGAATAAGAATTCAGAGGTCACAAGCTATAAGGGATTTAGTGTTGCAATAAAGACTCAGTGCAGAAGAAAGTAAGGAAAGCAGGGGTGAGGATCAGAGAGGAGGATGAGGTGAGGATCTGGCTGTGTGCTAGGACTGGGGGATTGGGCCAGGGAAGAACACAGACTCAAAACTGCACCTGGTCAGGGGCGGAGGCAAGGTGGGGCTTGGAGGGGGTGCATACCTCAGGTTGAGGTACTGCAATGATTTCATTTCCTTGGAGAAGCCACTCAGAGTGTCAATCTGGTTGTCTCGAAGATGCAAAGTGGTGAGATTGCTCAGGTTCTCCAGGCCTTCCACCTTCTTCAGCAAGTTTTGGGCCTAGACCCCCAGGACACCGTGGGTTGATTGAGAGGGGAGCAGGGATAGGGAAGAAAGTGAGGTCAGAATGAGATGAAGCAAAAGAGGAAACCCAAGAGGTAGTGCGGGAGGAGTGGAAGGGAGGGGGTGAGTGGAGATCAGTTTAGAAAGTACGGAGGTTCAGGAGAAGCTGTCATCCCAGAGAAAGGTCAGCAGGAACCCCTACCACTCACTCCACCAAAGCCACTTGGGATGGAAGAGATGCTCCAACCCACCCCCTACCCGGCCCAGGAGCCCCCATGCCACCACTGAGAATTGGCATCAGCACCATCCCAGAATAATGAAGCTTAAGAGTTTAAAAGACTAGCCTGGTCCGGTGGCTCATGCCTGTAATCCTAGCACTTTCGGAGGCCGAGGCAGGGGGATCACAAGGTCAGGAGTTCGAGACCAGCCTGGTCAGCAGGGTGAAACCCCGTCTCTATTAAAAATACAAAATTTAGCTAGGTGTGGTGGCGGGTGCCTGTAATCCCAGCTACTCAGGAGGCTGAGGCAGGAAAATTGCTTGAACCCAGGAGACCGCACCATTGCACTCCAGACTGGGCCACAGAGCAAGACTCCGTCTCAAAAAAAGAGTCGAAAAGACTAAACATTTCAGTGGCTCTTTGGCTTCTGTGTGTGTGTGTGTGTGTGTGTGTGTGTATATATATATATATATATATATATATATATAGGTTTTCATCCACAGTCCTAGTTTATAACCCCCATAGCTCTTGTTGCAGTCTCCCTATAATGCTGGGTGTGCTGGACCTCAGGGGCAGGTCTCAGGAACTTTCTCCTGCTCTCTTTTCACCTGCCCGAAGGGAAGACTTTAATCTTTCCCCCTCTTTCTGATTGTGGTTCTTAAAACCCTCCCCAGAGGCTGGGCGCAGTGGCTCAAGCCTGTAATCCCAGCACTTTGGGAGGCCGAGGCGGGTGGATCACAAGGTCAAGAGATCGAGACCATCCTGGTCAACATGGTGAAAC